GATAAAGAAGTTAATAAGGCAGAAAAATATGATTCAAAAATATATCGACTCAATCAATGAATATCAGCAACCTCTAAGGCGTCCTGTCAAGTTAGAGGAATACATGGCTGATTTATTTTTTTGACTTGGAGTCATAAAAGGAAGAGAGCATTTCAATTGAGATTTATCGAGTCATAAATTAATGAGGTGGAAGGGCTACAAGAGGACGTAATACACCTCTCGCTATCTAGAACAAAGTATTGGAAAGCAAGAAAAACTAAGTATAAAAAAATCTACTAGAGTAACAATGCTGAAAAAATGGGTAAATAAGTGAAATATTGTAGTAGTAAAGAGACTACGAGCGCAGAACAAATAAAACACTAACACAATGCCAAAACCCGTAGTGTCAAAATCAGAAACTTAACCAACTCAAATAAGGTCAGAACAAATCTCTAGACAATCAAATTCAAACCACAGGGCTTATAATAACTTGGTTGTTAGACTCACTACCCGGTAACTTTCGTAGGAAAGTCGTAAACCCGACCTTAGGGGGAAATTTTAGGTAAAAATTTGACCTAAACTCTGATCCCTAATTAAAACTACCCGACCACTTCTAATAGAAGTCGTAAGACCGACGTCTGAGGGAAACATTTAGGTGATAATACAGCCCTAGACTCCTCATTTGGGCAGCCTAGTCTATAGGGCTTGGTTGTAAGACCCACACTTCGGGCCACTTAACTTAAGGTTCTAAGTCGTAAGACCCATTGTTAGGCAAACTTCAAATGAAGTACTAAGACCTACCTAATTGAAAATCTTTGGACTACCTTAGCAGAGGCAATAAGTCCTTATCTAAATCTAATCATATGAAATAACTTTTGTAGAAAAATCAAGGCAAAAGCCTCAAGAAAGAATTTCATATTTATATAATGTTTTGAAGTACAATAATTATAATTCCTATATTCAAAGCATGTGAAATTTCTATCATAGTATTTCCTATCCAAGTAATTAAAGCCTTCGGGCATCTTAGCTTATAGGGCTAAGTTGTAAGACCTGCTATTTGGGCTACTTCTAAGTGAAGTCATAAGATCCACGTTTTATAAAAATTACTAAATAAATTTTAATGACCCTAAATCCTAAACAATCAAATTTAAACCTATGGACATCTTAGTCTAAAGAATTAAGTTGTAAGATCCGCTTTTCAGGCTACTTCCTAAGGGAAGCTTATGCAGCAAAAGTGTATCAAAGGTGCTACAAGTTCTTGTACATGTTTGTGAAGGAGAAGAACTTTTGCAACAACTTAAATGTGATATCTTGGAATGTCGAAGGATGAGTAGAACAATGTCTAGACCGGACCAGAGAAGGCACAGTGAAAAATGCGGGGTAAAAAGTAAAATGACACAGCTCTCGAGTCTTGCGAACTCCTACGAATTCAAATTTTTTTGGTTCTGGTCAGGTTAGACATGATGATAAGACAAAAATAATAAATAATATCTAATTAAACATCCACTTATCTTCTTAACGTGTCCAGATTTAATTGGAATATCGTTGCTAGAGCTAAATTCGAACTATGCACCAAATAATTTCTCCTACAACTACCTTGAACTTCCCATTAGGGGTGTCACATCATCCTTCTTCCCGGTCAAGCTGAGAAAGTTGTTCGCCCACAACACCCAAGAAAACCTATCAATCCTAGCTGGAGTCTTCGTTCTATGGTCTACCTTATCGATAGGTTTCAGGGAGAGGGCAGAGGGCATAAACCATCTCCTTCCCTCTATTTCCATCACATTTCATATCACTCCTTTCGAGCATGAGAAGGGGTCTCTGATCTAAGTGACGGCGAGGGACGTAGAGACCACTACTAATTAATCGAACTTTTTAAGGGGTTATGTGGCAACAAGTGGGATTTAACTTTAGTTATCAAATCCTAAAAATTAGGATTTAGTAAATCCCGAGGGTGTTAAATCCACAAAATTGTTTGATATGACAAATGTTAAATCATGTTAAATCCTGAGAAGTTTTGGTAACATATTTCAAGATTTATGATAGTTAGGGATTTAAATTTGAATAAGATAATTATAAATTCATGATAATTGCATACAACATAAAAATATAACTTGAATTCATATAATATAACAAAAAATCAATAAAGAGTACATGACAAACTAATATTGATTACTTTAATTTTTTTGAAAATATAAATTATTTCACTCATACTCATACTAATGAATTAATTAGTTAAAGATTAAACTAATTTAATGAATATTCTACTTCTAATAGCTATAATAACCAATAAATTAAAAATATTAATTAAACTACTCTAATGATAATTATAGTGATAATTATTAAATTAAATTATTTAATTATACTTAAATTATTTAATTATACTACTTATAATACTATTAATTATTTAATTATTCTAATTAATTATTAATATATAAATTATGCTATATGATCATTTATGTAAATTGTTAATGATAATTATACTACTAATTATTCAATTAAATTATTCTAATGGCTATTTTTTTTATAATTTTCTAAAAACTTCTACTAACATCAATTCGAGCACAATGGCAAGGCTGATTTAACCACATCATAGTGCATTTGAGTTATTAGATCCACGCCATTTGGATCAATGGTCTCGATGACGTCAAACATATGATGGAGGTTACAAAGTGTCTCCCGCATTTTAAATGACGGACATAGCAACAAGATTTGAGCCCTTGTTTATAAAACAAGGGATGTCATCGGCTCCGATCATTTATTTCCCATGCATTAGAGCTGAGAAACCATATTCACTTAATGAAATGGGCTAAAATTTGAAATAGAGCTCCCTCATGGATAGATGAAGAGTGGGGATGTGTTTTTAAAGCTTAATATGCTAAATACTTAGAGGTCAAGCAAGGGTTTAAGAAATACCTTGATAGGAAGCTTCTCGAAGGGTGTTTGATGGCTATTTTTGCACGTTGAATCTTCTAGCACAAGTTTGCTGAAGGGGTCAAGGGTTGAGGAAGCTTTGATTGTAAATGAAACGAGTAAGACATAAAAGGCCTTGAATTGTTAGAATATGTTTGATGCTGACATTTGATTGGTGGGTTTTTGCTTAGGGATTGTAGAATAGGCTATGAGGAGCTCACAAAAAAAAATCACTCAGGGTTTGGTGATTTTTAGTTTGTAAGATATATTGGAATGCTTAATAAATAAAAAGATTTGAAATTTTAGATTGATTTAATCATTGTGTGCTGAGTTGTGGTACAAATATTTTGCTTCGTATTTTTCAATGTCTCAGAAAAAGAGAAACAATTGGTTGAGTAGTAGTTATTGGATCCTATTTGAGTCTGGACATGTATTCTTCTTTTGATTTATGAATAATAATGGCTAGTTATTATTTTTTCTGCTATGTACTTTGTTTTGTAGTCATGCAATGTAATGTAATCATTACAAATATATTTTGATAATGAAAGAAAAAAATAAAGATTTGTTGGAAGAGTTTATTTTTATTTTTTAGTATAATGGATGATGTCAGTAGCTTTACGTATTGTGTTTGTGTTAAAGTCTTGTTTGGAAGAAGATTTTTGAAATTTTTTCAAAACTAGATATTGGAGTTTCAATCCGACATGATATGACTTGTCACATTTGTGGGTCTTATCGGATTAGATTGTGACAACTCCAACTTCTACGAACTCCGTTGTCTACTATTGTGAATAATGCCAATGCATGCTATCATTTATATGATCAATTTACATCAACTCTAACTCCCAACTTCAACAATATGATTTATGCTAGATTTCTTAGTATTTTAATATTCTCTTTTAAAAAGAGCATGACCAAACAAATAAATAAACAATCTCTTAGAAACAATTCTAATGCCAAAGAGATCTTCCAACCCCAATAATATAATATATTTTTATATTATAATCATATATTTCTTTGAAGAAGAATCCTTTGTAATCGATGCTAAAAACTTGTAGAATCATTTTAACAGAGCTAGACCACAAGATTTTTCCCTTTCCTGAAAATTCCACATAAAAGATCTGGTGTTTGTTACAATTCTTACAATGTGCAAAGTTTATCATTGAACTTTTATTTCTCTAGAGCTCAGAATATTTTTACATTCAAAAAATATTATTGTCAATACTTATTTTAATTTAAATAATGCTAAAAATTAGAAATATATAAAATATTACTTCAATAATTTATAAGTAACTAAGTCATTACAAATAATGTTATATTATTACGGAAAAAAAACCTTGCATTAAAACTTTCGGTCCAATTAAATAAAAATTTAGGTGTTCCTATGCCATATATCAATCTAATATATTCATTTTATTTTACATGTGTGTGTTCTAGGGTTTGATATTCTGAAGCTGGGGCTGTTATGCAAAAATTTGATTTAACTTTTGTTGTACTTAGTAAATCATGTAAATCTAAGATTCCGAGCATGTTAAATCATGACAACTCTTTGGTAAAATAGTTTTAAAATCCTTCTAAATCCATGAAATTGTTTGCCAACATAATCCAAGATTTAAGGATGCTCGTTCTTTTAAAAATTAAATTTAATTTGTTAGAAATTTAATAACATGTTAAATACAAGTTACTTATTAATTTTAATTTTAATTATAATTAAGAAATTATAATGATAAATAATTTAATTAAAAATTAGCATGATAATTAAATTGTTTAATTACTAATTATAATATTATTGATTAAATTATTTGTTTATGTGTTAATCTAATAAGTATTTGAAATAACAAATTAATTAACTAATAAATTATTAATTATTTTAGTATTATTTACTTAGTTTAATTATAAATTATATTATTATTTATCTCATTAATCACTTAAAATTTTTAGTACTTATTAATTATATATTTTAAATTATATTAATATTTAATTACTAATCAATTAAGTTAAAATAGATAATTAATTTACGCACTAATCTACTATTAATTATTTAAGTATTCATATTTTAAATTATATTAATTAAGTTAATCAATAATAACGTAATTAAGCCCGTAGTAACTTCCGTTTAGGGTTTTCGTTTCATCTTCTCTTTTCGTCGTTGCTGTTCGGCTTCGTTGCTTCGCAGGAGTTGCTCTTCGGCTTCTTCGTTGCTGTTCGACTTCGTTCCTTTGACGTCTTTCCCTTACTGTCGGATTGGAAGTTAAGACATTTTGATCGGAACCAAAGATGGGAGCTCGCTGTCTGTAAAGGCACGGGAGCTCGCTGGCTGTGAAGGTAACTTTCTCCCTTTCGCGCGCTTCTTCGGCCAAATCCCGTAAAACCGCCGAACTAGAGGATTTAGTAAATCTGCGATTTACGGCAAAAAGAGGGAAACGGAGGATTTATTCCGCCGGGAGATTTAGGGGGCGCTCAAATCCCGTTTGGCAGGATTTAGCATAAATCCTGTTGCCAAACAGCCTCCGAGGCATTTCCAATCATGTCAATGTCGGATTCCGACTTCTCGTCCGGTGGGGATTACAAGAATTTCCGTCAGATCACTCGCGACCGTAAGCACTCGAACTGTTCCCTTTGATTCCTTTTGTGTATTTTACTATTGTTAAGATGAGCGAGTTACATGGCACTAGAAATGGGGAATGTGATCAGTGTTGGATGGAGTGCAATAGTTTGCAAATTTTAAAGGGCACTTTGGGAATGAGCGTGAAGCTTGACTTATGGAGATTTGTTATTTTGTCGTTTCTATCCGTCTCATTGATCTGAATTGAGTGGGAGATGGTACTGGTTTTCCATTAGACAACTTATCGACGATATTTCTATAAAAAAATGGGAAAGAGCTCGAAAGAAGTGAGTTGTACTGCCTGACGTCAAACATAAGAGGGTTTAGCTTGGTATGTTTTCTTACTTTTTACCTCGAACTGCCAAGCTTGACTCAAAGAATAGACAACTAACTTTTTAACAATGATAACTCAGTCGAGTGGATTCACCAATCAGTTTTATGTGTTAAAAGTGTCATATTTACGTAAAAAATAGCCTCTTATATTCTTGGAATATCTGGTAAGTAACACAACGAGTCATGAATATGCCTGGTTTCTTCCTAGAGCACTAGTTACCAAATGATAATGCGAGATTCAGAAGAGATATAAATTCCCTAGTACATGGTACATGGTACATGGAATGAGATTTATTGTCTAATTTAGGAAGCCAACAGCGGTGAAAAGGATGATGACAGAATGACATTGAATCACTACGAGACTTCTAAAAAATTTTCGCGAGCAAAAGCAATTTGGTTAGATCAGGGGTGTTTATTTTTAGCTTAAGGAATGAAGGCTGTGGTCACATTTTCATAAGAAACAATTTTCTTCCGCCTTGCTCATTATAAAGATATACACAAAAAATTTACAAAACCTTTTAGTGCGAATCCTTATAGGTGGAACATGTTGTGTAAATGGTACCATGAAAGGCAATATGACAGGTTTTGATCTATTAAGGTGCGATCTAGTTTCATCCTGATTTAGGTTTTTGGATGTAATTATTGAGTTTCCTAACTACCCACCAAACTCATTGTCGCTTCTTGGTGTAACCCTTGAACTTTTCAACTTTCATGGTATCCCAATAGTATAATATAGTTCTTTTGGTACTATTATTTCAATTTGTTTTACTTTGTGTCTACTTTTGTTGTGGGCAAAACAACAAGTAAAAAGTAGGGTTTGTTGGATAGAATTGAAGAGCTTTTGTTGCTTTTCCTAGTGTTTACTTTTAGAAAGTTGTTTTGAGAAAGCAAAATAAAAAACTGTGGTTAAAAAATCTCTTTTAGAAAATATTGACCACGAAAAAAAAAAAAAAAAAAACTTAAACCATACCAAATGCTGTATAAAATATCTGTTAGTTGGAATGAATGGTGATTAATGATTCATAGTGCTAACATAAGTGTGAGCATGATATCTCACTCTCATTTTGTTTTGAGGTCTTGACTATTACTAATTAATTAGTTTTCTATGTAAAATATATGGATATTATTTCCCGTACAGACAAAAATTGGTTTACAATACATATTAAATCTAGTGCAGTGGTACTAATTATAGTAGGTGTAGAAACTTTGGTTGAACGATTAGTAAAACCAATAAGAGACTATTTAAGAGAATCACAAAAAAATTAGTCACATTTTAGGGAGAACTAATATTTTGTTGACCATTGTGCCTAATGTGGAGTAGAAGATTTAGAAGTAAGTTTCTCTTATATAACAAAAAACTATCCTAACCGGAAACAATTCACGATGATTGAACACTATGCATTATCTAATATAAGTACACGAGTAACTTGCTTAGATAAAATTTTATCTCTTCATAATGAAGTAAGATACAATAAAAATTTCCATCTAAGGATGATACAGATTTGCATGTGAATAATGAGAATGCTTTTTCAGCTTCTTTTCTATAAAAAACATAGCATATTTCAAATTTGATTTGAGATGGAATTATTTGACTATATTGCACAGTCATCTCATTTATGGCTTTGAACTCATGATCCAAATTTCTATTTTTTGTAAGAGAAAAGATAGTTTATTTTCCATAGCACAAAAAAGCAACAAAACAACATTAACGAAACCTGTTGTAAAACAATATGCTTTTAGTATGTGCAAGGATGTTAAAAATTTGACCTATTTTATTTGTCAAAATCTCATGGATTTGTGTTGGGATGTTGGATACTCCACCATCGAGTTGGTACATTTTTGTCTAATTTATATGTACATGATTGGGTCATGTCATGACTGTCAAGTGTTAGGCGTCTTTGTGTGAGGTCCCTTGTTAATTTGCTCTATTTTTTGTTTTTTTATATATTTTTTAATTTCACGGATATTTTTTTTACATCGTTGTAGGGATAATCATCATTATTAGCCTTATCTCAAATATTTGGTATTGTCATACATGCTTAAACTTTCTCATCATATACTTTTTGTATGGTTTTAGGGCTTTTATATGAAATGCTTCGACCAACTATGTCCAAAGACTCAAACGCAAGAGGGAAGGTAATTTGCATTGTTGTTTGCCTTTCTCGTGTTTATTTCTCGCAGTCCTTTATATATTTTTATTTTACATCATTAGTGGATAATAATATTTTTTCATCATTAATATACCATTTATTGCTACATATATGATAAAAATATAATATGCAATTTTTATCGTACGACATTTAAAATGCATTTCAACTGCATTAATTTTCAGTTTTCAAAACCTATGAAATAACAGGTTTGATTTGTGCAGTTAAAGGAAATTCTTTGCCTTCAGTGTGCAACTTCTTTTATTGTATCACAATATGATTCATAATCGACTTTTGAATTGTAAGAATTTTTCTAAGATAAGGGTGATCCGACACAATGCTTTTAACATGACATGAGAGTACATCGGTTGAGCTTTCTTGCTGTAGGAAACTCATATTTGGCTTTTACCTTATACTCACTTTTTGCTATGGTACTTATGGGTTGCTATAATAATTGTGGTTTGCTGCTAGGTCCGCGGGGGTTATAGTGCCAATACTATTACTATGACTCGGGCCACAGAGGAAGAGAAATGAAATCTATTGAGAGAGAATGAATAGTTTTATATGGCAAAATGAACATATTTGGGATGTTTAAGTTGAGAGGGAAATCCGAGAAATTGGATATAAAAAACAAAAATATTCAAATTATGATATATGTATACAATCGAGCTAGAAATGTAATAATGTAGACAGTATTTGTTACCAAAAGAGTTTATCTTATATTATGATCACTAAGTTTTAAGGTATCTGAATTTACAAAAGAAATTATTTCATAAACATACTGAATGGGTTGAATTTTAATAGGAATACATTTTTTATTTAAAAACTATGATAGGATTGAGAAGGAACCTGTTATTGCATTGATTAGACTTCTTATTTTACGTACATGGAAAAATAATTTGATTGGTTTTGATCATATTAATAAAGAATATAGCACGTGTAAAAAATTTAATGAAATGAATTGGGACGTAAAATTTTGATTTATTTGTTCTTAACAAAGACTTTATGATTAAGGATGTTTTTTTTTTGTCGAGGGAACTTTTCTTTGCAATCTTGGTTATCTTTAAGAGATTTCTTTGTTCTTGATGTAGACAAAAGGGGGGGGGGGGGCAAATCAAACCCAAAAAAATTTGGTTTTGATTTCCCTTGAGCTTGCTAGCTCATTAATTTTTGAGCTAAGATTTAGCTCATTATAAGCTGGTTTTTAGTTCATTTATTGAACTAAGAGTTAGCTCATTATGAGCTATGTTTTTAGATCATTTATTAATTTATTAGTAGCTCATTATTTTGTCTATTCTTCTTCCCCTTGTCTAATCGTTTCCCGTGGATGGTTCTTGGGTTCCCGTGCCTTGGCTCCTTGGTTCTCACGGCTGCCTCCTTGGTTTCCTGCGGCTGGCTCTTGGATTTCCGTGCCTTGGCTCCTTGGTGTCCACGGTTGGCTGTTTCCGTGCCTTGGCTCCTTGGTTTCCACGGTTAGCTGCTGGTTTTCCCGTGCTAGGTGGCCTTTTCCGTGCCTTGGTGCTTCGGTTCCGTGCGGGCCTCCTTGGCTTTTGCGGCTGCCTCTTCGAGTTTCGCCTGGGCTGTTTTCCCGTGGTTGATGGGGGCTTTTCCGTGGTTTTGGTGCTTCGTTTCCTGGAGTTGACTGTTGACTTTTCATATTCCCTATTTAAATAAGCTTCTAAATTAATGTTGTGACTATTTGTATTCCCCTCTCATGCCTATATATAGAGATGTTTTGCGTATGTTTAAAAATGGTTATATGAATGATTTTTGGAAATGTAAACCTGCGGGTTTTGTTGGAAAAGCTTGCGAGCTTGTTTCATCTCTTCTTCTTCTATCTCTTGGGAAATCTTGCGAGTTCTTTCTACCCTTCCTCTCGGCTTCTAACATCTTTCGTCTCTCCGCAAGTGACCACCCCACCTGTATCCTTCTTCTTTTGGAAAGCAAGTTTAGGGTGTCATGTTTTAGTCAAGTTTGTAAGAGTCTTTGTTTGTAAGTCGTTTTATTATATAAAGTTGTGTTTTATAGTATTTGTGTTCTTTAAGCATTTTATGTCTTTCTATCATCCTAGAAAGAGAGTTTTGTTTTTTGTGATAAAAAATTTGGGCCCCTCTCAGAATTTTTTGATTGCATTAGTTCTTCAATTGCATTTTGGTGCTATTGGATGGTTGAGATAAAGTATAACAATGATTGAGAATATATATAATTTGCCAAGCTTATAAAGTTGATGTAGTGCAAATTGTTTTGTGATGCATAATTAGTCGAATGGTTAAAGGATAATGAAATAATAGTGCTTATGCACACTTGTACTCATTTTTTTATACGCTTTAAGAAAGCCGAATTGAAGTGAATGAAATTTTCTTATATTTTGCTTTTTAAACTAATTGATTTTAATAAGGTATTCAATGCTTCTTATGATGTTTCAGGCATAGGTATTGGGATGATTTTAGGCTAAGAGGGACATTCAATTACATTATTTAGTGATAAATAGGATGAGCTCAAGTAAAAATATCGAGTCTCGTACAATTGTTGGGGCCATTATCTATTCCCTAAAGTGTTTATGACTTTATCCTATATTATGAGCATCAAGCCTTAAGGTATTTGAATTCACAAAAGAAATTATGACACAAACATCCTAAATGGTTTGAATTTCTGTTAAAATGCACATTTGTTTTGAAACCATGCTGAGATGGAGAATGAGCTTGACGATGCATTGAGTAGATTTGTTATTTTGCATATAATGAAAATTAATGCCACTGATTTGATCATGTTAACAAAATTTATGCCACTTAGTAAAAAAAAAAAGAAATAAATTAGGACTTAAATATTAATTTATTTATGCTTAGCAAAGACTGGATGTTTATCTTTTTAAGGGAGTGTATCTGATGAGGACATCGTCAGAGATTGCGACACATGTACCATCAGGAGATGCCGAAGATCGACGACCACGATCATGATCTTTATTTTTATCATTTTATGTAGTAGTTTATTTGATTTTATGTTTTTTCCGTTTTTGCCCTTATGGGTATTTGGTCATTATTGTAGCCCGAGGGACATTTTAGTCTTTTGCTTTCTTGTCATTTTGAGGCCTATTTATATGGTCCTTTTCTTATGTAATAGTTTTAGTTTTTGATGAATGAAGAATATTTGCCACTTATGATCTCTTTGTGAGTTCACCCTCCTCGATCTCTTAGTGAGTTCGTAGGAGAAGCTAGATCTCTTTGTGAGTTCTAGATCTTCTTGTTCTAACATTTTTCTTCCTTTATTTCTTGTGATCGATTCGTCGTCGTGGAGATTCGGGTTGAAGCATTTGTGAAGAGTGGAATTCACGCTTGAATCCAAAGATTTTCCCCTACTGATTTCTCTCTCTTGCTCCTTGCTGCCGCCCAATCCAAGCTGTTCAAAACCGCCGGCCACCCTGCCTCCAATTTCCGCCGGCTAGATCAGCCACCGCCGGCCAACCAGCCGCCGGCCAGCCACCAACCTCCCTCCGGCCAGCCCCTTTCCCCCCACCGGCCAACCCAGTAGCCCTCTCCCACCACCTCTTCCCCCCTTGAATTCCTATGGTTTGAATTTCAAATTTCGTTTAAACACTTTCCTAATTGGCTCCCTTCCATTATGGGATCTCATTAATGAAATTAAATCCTAATTTGAATTTCAAATTAGATCTCCCTCTCATTTTAAATTGTGGGAAGTTACCTAAGTCACAATTAAATCTGAAATAAAATTCAGATTTAATTGAATTTCTTACTTAAACTTGGGCCTCACTCTCATAACTCCCAAACCTCCCTCTCTCCTCCTCATATGGCCGGCCACTCTTAGTGGGCCTCTCTCTCTCCTCCAAATGACATATTAACTCCACAAAATCAGCCCCCACTCCTCCTCTTTTAGCCGCCCCTTCCACCTTTGTGATTTAATTGAATTCCAAATTAAATCACCCCCATTAGACCACCCAAAATTCTGAAATTACTCAGAATTTCTGCTCTCCCTCTTTGGCCACCCCTCCTTGGCCGAACCCCTCTAAACCACCAAACCGTGACCACCTCTCTCCCCCAATTTCCCGACCCACTTCCCCACTCCCCCTTGTGCTCTCTCTACGCAACCCTATCATGAATGGCGGATCCGGAGCTCGAATGGGGACTTGTGTTTGACGCTCACGGCAACCTGGACATCCATCGATCGCCGTTCTTCGACGCGGGATTTGAATCCGACGAAGATACTGTTGGAGATTACTTGGATCGGATCCTCCCGTCTCTCATCCGAGTCATCGACAGACAACGTCCAGACTCCGAGTGCATCATCGACGGCCGCCCACCCGCTCCTCCAAATCCGGCATCCTCCCTGGAGACGAGTCCTCTCGGGATTACTTGTCTATTAGTGGCATCGTTGAGTTTACTTACAATCCTCCTCCGCTAGCCCATATTTTCGAGAGCAATGAAAGGACCCCAAGGTGAATGATCTAAATTTTAAACTTGTGGCTTTAGTAGTAGCTATTTGCATTATCTAGTTTATTTTGGTTATATTTTGTAAGACTCTTGTAATTCTTAAATGTAATCACTGCCGTAACATAATCTATCACGAAGTTTTTTTTTTTAAATCCAACTTGAGTAATCTAGATTTTATCGTTAACATTGCAAAGTTAAACTCTCATTAATCTCTAACGTACAATTCATGTTTCACCGCATGTTGTATCACATCATCTTGGTACCAGAGCATGGCTAGCATGCTTTGTTTGTGCTAGATGCATCCTAGGAGTCTAGTTTACATTGCCATTCGTCAATTACATGCATAACATCATCTAGATATTGTTATTCACTGTTTTACTTTGCTGTCCAGTAATTTTCTGCATGACATTTTCATTGTAAACATTCATTTGTATCTTACCTAAGTGTTATCTTTACCATTTTCCACCTAACCAATCACCTAGGTCACTTGCCACCCTAGAAAACCTTGCTGTCCAGGACTTTTCCTGCACTGTTTAGTGACTTT